TGCGCAATGACGCTAAAAAGGTCAAGAAAAAAGCATATGAGGCCAATGAGAGAAATAAAGTACTCACCAAAGAAGTGAAGCGTTTCAAAAGCGAGATGAAAAATATGAAAGGTTATATGGAGAAATTTTTTAACATCATGGGATATGATATCTCAGACAATAAATAATGAGGTATTATATCACATTAATTTCTTTAACAGATGGAGAAGATTAGTGACTTATTTGAAGTGATTTTTTCTACTTAGTTTTAGTTTATTTTATTTTAAAAGCTTGTATTGAACATTATTGACTAGTTATAAATTACTTAAAGTCAATTATATGTAATCATTGTATGATTGAACATAGTTATGCCTTTTTTGCAATGAGATTATTGTTGGACGGTTGTTATATTATTATTTCCGTTGAATGTGTATCATGAATTGAACATGAAATTGTATCTAGGAAGTAGGAAGCATATAATTAAAAAACTGCATATAAAATTGTCATGAACATTGCCTCTAATGATACTGAGTCACCAAAATATAGTTGTTTCAAATTGTATTCTGAAACATCGTATTTTAGGTTGCCCCAAATGATATTTTAGGACAAGATAATATGATGGTCACAAATGATTTTTGGGGTAAGATAATATGCTTGTTTCAAATTATGTTTTGGGACAAAATGACATGGTTGTCTCAGATGATGTTTAGAGACAAGGTGGCATGGTTGCCTCAAATGATTTTCTGAGACATGATCATTTGGTTGCCTCTAAATGTATACCATTTAGAGTCAAATATTATGTTGTCTCTAAAGCTACTTTTAGAGGCAAACATCATTTAGGGACAAATTAATTAGAGACACCTTAGAGACAACCAATAAATTGCATCTAAAAGTAATTAGAGGCAATTTCTCCATATATAGAGGCAACAACGTCCTGCCCCTACAAACCATTTTTCTTGTAGTGCAATAAGACTAATTTTTTTTATCCTTATGAAACATATTACATGGATGTCATATATAGCCATATGTTAGAGGAGTTGCCCCCGACATGATGAGAGCATTATGATAAATGGCGAGCACGTGTGCCGTTGATATGTTTTGACATTGTTGAGCTTCATTTGCCTTATCGTGTACTACGGCAGTTTGGCGATGAGCAGGTCATTCCAACAGCTGTCGACACATGTGTAGATCTTCATAAGCTGGATATGTGTGGGAAGCCTACAGAGGATTGGCCGCTCAGACATGTCCGATACGTGACTATATAGGAGAGGTGAGCGGAGCTTGTTGTGACTAGGATGGCGACATTACTCCCATTTGTTTCTGTAGACTACATGAGATGGTTTTACAGCATCACGCGACTGTTTGTCTCTCCTTCTTTCAGGCTCCTCACTCACCATTATCAGCCTAGTTCCATGGCTTTGCACTTAACAGTGAGTGTGCCACTAATTACTAAAGTAATTCATGTTCTTTACTTAACATTTATTTATTTGAAAATAATTATAATTCATGTTTCACATTTCAGACACGAGCTTTGCAGTGTATAGATGAGCATTTGGGCACGTAGGACCAGGTTCTGACGGGCATTGCTTCCTTGTATTCGGATGTATTTGGGCGAGTGGACTACGGACATCTTATACATATGATTCCCTCGCAGGATTCTATGGCATCGACATTTACCGCAACAGCAAGTTTTACATCTCAGAGTCGGCGTGACAAAGTTGTTCTTCAGTCACTGCGGCGGCGTAGACGTATGCTTCAAGACAATCAAGAAGACCATGAAAACTTGTAGTCTCCATTATTGGACTTATTCATGTACCCCGAATGTTCTAGAAGTTTTTCTATCAGTGAATCACTTTACTTTTTTACGTATGTCCACCTACAAACTATTGGATATTGTGTTATTAGTTACTTATTCATTTGCTTATGATGTTTTGGTTATGCGTATTAGATATTTGTACTGTGTTTCTGATCAGGTGCATTGCTGTGTATCAATGTAATTCTGTTCTATTTTGTATCTGATTTGTGAACTTACTGGTGTTGCAGGTGCAGGGGAAAGTCATCATCCCGTTTGGCGACTTTCCCCAACCTGGATTAAGCCCAACAATATATTGTTAAATACTTTCAACCAACACTATTTCGAATTATTTCAATTAATACTTATTTATTTCGCATTAATTCGGATAAAAAAACTCAAATACTCAAACCCTCGTTCAATTGGGAAAGGTGCAAATAGGCCCATGTACTAACCAAAAAGGTCAAATAAGCCCTATTTAGGAGGCTCTGTCCGGCCGTCACCATTTGGGTTGGTTCCTGGTGGAATTTTTTGATGAAATTTTTGAGCATCTTATTCATTAAGTTTAGTTTACTCATACCAAATTTCAGCTATAACTTCAATCGGGAAGGCATTCAAATGAATTCTTGAAAATAACTGCACAATTAGAAGCGCAATTATCTTCAAGAATTCATTTGAATTCCTTCCCGATTGAAGTTTTAGCTGAAATTTGATATGCGTAAACTAGACTTGATGAATAAGATGCTCAAAAAATTTCATCAAAAAATTCCACCGGGAACCACCCCAAATGACGACGGCCAGACAGAACCTCCTAAATAAGGGCTTATTTGACATTTTTTTTGTTAGTACATGGACCTAGTTGCCTCTAAATGTATACCATTTAGAGTCAAATATTATGTTGTCTCTAAAGCTACTTTTAGAGGCAAGCATCATTTAGGGACAAATTAATTATAGACACCTTAGAGACAACCAATAAATTGCATCTAAAAGTAATTAGAGGCAGTTTCTCCATATATAGAGGCAACAACGTCCTGCCCCTACAAACCATTTTTCTTGTAGTGCAATAAGACTAATTTTTTTTATCCTTATGAAACATATTACATGGATGTCATATATAGCCATATGTTAGAGGAGTTGCCCCCGACATGATGAGAGCATTATGATAAATGGCGAGCACGTGTGCCGTTGATATTTTTTGACATTGTTGAGCTTCATTTGCCTTATCGTGTACTACGACAGTTTGGCGATGAGCAGGTCATTCCAACAGCTGTCGACACATGTGTAGATCTTCATAAGCTGGATATGTGCGGGAAGCCTACAGAGGATTGGTCGCTCAGACATGTCCGATACGTGACTATATAGGAGAGGTGAGTGGAGCTTGTTGTGACTAGGATGGCGACATTACTCCCATTTGTTTCTGTAGACTACATGAGATGGTTTTACAGCATCACGCGACTGTTTGTCTCTCCTTCTTTCAGGCTCCTCACTCACCATTATCAGCCTAGTTCCATGGCTTTGCACTTAACAGTGAGTGTGCCACTAATTACTAAAGTAATTCATGTTCTTTATTTAACATTTATTTATTTGAAAATAATTATAATTCATGTTTCACATTTCAGACACGAGCTTTGCAGTGTATAGATGAGCATTTGGGCACGTAAGACCAGGTTCTGACGGGCATTGCTTCCTTGTATTCGGATGTATTTGGGCGAGTGGACTACGGACATCTTATACATATGATTCCCTCGCAGGATTCTATGGCATCGACATCTACCGCAGCAGCAAGTTTTACATCTCAGAGTCGGCGTGACAAAGTTGTTCTTCAGTCACTGCGGCGGCGTAGACGTATGCTTCAAGACAATCAAGAAGACCATGAAAACTTGTAGTCTCCATTATTGGACTTATTCATGTACCCCGAATGTTCTAGAAGTTTTTCTATCAGTGAATCACTTTACTTTTTTACGTATGTCCACCTACAAACTATTGGATATTGTGTTATTAGTTAAATATTCATTTGCTTATGATGTTTTGGTTATGCGTATTAGATATTTGTACTGTGTTTCTGATCAGGTGCATTGCTGTGTATCAATGTAATTCTGTTCTATTTTGTATCTGATTTGTGAACTTACTGGTGTTGCAGGTGCAGGGGAAAGTCATCATCCCGTTTGGCGACTTTCCCCAACCTGGATTAAGCCCAACAATATATTGTTAAATACTTTCAACCAACACTATTTCGAATTATTTCAATTAATACTTATTTAATTCGCATTAATTCGGATAAAAAAACTCAAATACTCAAACCCTCGTTCAATTGGGAAAGGTGCAAATAGGCCCATGTACTAACCAAAAAGGTCAAATAAGCCCTTATTTAGGAGGCTCTGTCCGGCCGTCACCATTTGGGTTGGTTCCTGGTGGAATTTTTTGATGAAATTTTTGAGCATCTTATTCATTAAGTCTAGTTTACTCATACCAAATTTCAGCTATAACTTTAATCGGGAAGGCATTCAAATGAATTCTTGAAAATAACTGCACAATTAGAAGCGCAGTTATCTTCAAGAATTCATTTGAATTCCTTCCCGATTGAAGTTTTAGCTGAAATTTGATATGAGTAAACTAGACTTGATGAATAAGATGTTCAAAAAATTTCATCAAAAAATTCCACCGGGAACCACCCTAAATGACGACGGCCGGACAGAACCTCCTAAATAAGGGTTTATTTGACATTTTTTTTGTTAGTACATGGACCTATTTGCACCTTTTCCCCGTTCAATTTTATACTCCGTAAGTTTTTATTTTACGTTAGGGAAAAGGGGCAAATAAGCCCATGTACTAACAAAAAAAGGTCAAATAAGCCCTTATTTAGGAGATGTTGTCCGGCCGTCACCATTTGGGGTGGTTCCCGGTGGCATTTTTTCATGAATTTTTTTTAGCATCTTATTGATTAAGTCTAGTTTACTCATACCAAATTTCAGTTAAAACTTCAATCGGGAAGGCATTCAAATAAATTCTTGAAGACAACAGCGCAGTTAAAAGCGCAGTTATCTTCAAGAATTCATTTGGATGTCTTTCCGATTGAATTGTTAGCTGAAATTTGGTATGAGTAAACTAGACTGAATGAATACAACTCTTAAAAAATTTCATCAAAAAACTATAACAGGAACCTCCCAAAGGGTTTATTTTATTTGCCCCTTTTCTCTTTAGGTTAAAGATGATGTATCATTTGTGACGTCGTATTTCTATTTTTATGATTACCAGGTAATAAATGGACAGCTATGCGTTGGGCGAGCACACTCAACTTCTCAAGCCTCAAAGTCTAATTCCCAGTATTCAGTATTCACGGAGCAAACGTGAGAGAGAGGAGCAGATAGGGAAAAAGAAAAGAAAAGGCAAAGTCCTTTCATTGACTTTTGTCGGTGTATCCATTGGGTGAGTTTATCTTGGTCATTCCGTATTAAGATTCCAGTTTAATCAAGCCTTTCCCCCAATTCACTGTGCGGAATTCTGTTAGGAAATGAGTTCGGATCAGAAAGTGCATAGCTTTGAGGAGGTCTCCAAGCACAACCTGACCAAAGATTGCTGGCTTATTATCCATGGAAAGGTTACGTCTTTAATTATTTCTCGCGCCTGGATGTGATTCAGTTGATTGATATTCGTTAAGTTTCGTGGTTATTGTGAATTTTCAATACTTATTTTTTGGTTGGAATTATAATCATTTGTTAGTATTTAGGTTGTCTTCTTGAGTTGTGCTCACTAGTGTCGTAGACCTATAACACATCCTTCTTTTTTCTCAATGTTGAGGTGGAATGTTTTGATGATTTTCTCAGGGACAGTTTGGATAGAGGGTTTTGTGTGTGTAGTGATTCTCTAATAAAAGTGAAATCATATTCATGTACCCTCATGGTGGGACCCTTCCCCGGACCCTCCCCTTGCGGGGATGCCTTGGTGCACTGGGCTGCCCTATGTCTCATGTGTTTTAAATCTAGATAGTAAGGTGGTTCATTACTTCATTTAAACAGTTTTAACATGGCCAAAGAACTGAATCCTTACCCATTTGAATTATCCTTTTTCTATATGTGGAGAAGGATAGATTGCAAACACATCTCAAATTGGCATGGGCTGAACTCACTAATCATTTACTCGTCTCATAATTAGTGGAATTTATGCGCGACTGTTGCATAAAAGAGTCATGTTTGATGAGAACAAAATTTTGCTACTGGCAAGCTACAATTGTTAGTTTGATACAAATCATGAATGATAATTTTTATAGGTCTTTTTTAGTTAAAACTTTTTATCATGTATTAAACTTGTTTTTATTATATTCTAGCAAATTCATTAACTAATAATCTTCATTTTATCCCAAACGCAACTCTCTGTTTAGACTAGAAGACTTCAATATCGTTGCTCTCTTTTATGTGATGGACGGAGGACATTCTAAAAAGCATTAAAGGCTAGGGGGACAGGTGACACCACCTACTCCCATGTGAGGTCAGGCAGAGACATAGATGAGATCTGCACAGACAAATTGGAACAAAGCGGTAGGCCAAGTAAGAATATGATAGTTACTCAACAAACGCAGCAGCAATTTAGGATTATATTGAATATGGAGCCTGATGAATTACAACTGAATAGATGGACAACAGAAAGAACGTAAGAGAAGAACAGTTTTGAGACACTTTGAGCAGTCTCCCTCTCCCTCTCCCAAGCCCAAGCCTAACCAAATATCTGCCTAACCCGGTTCTTCTCTCCTTCCCACTCTTATAGTAATTCTATTCTTAAATGCCGGCCCAATCATGGGCCAAAACACTTATTTACACAATATCATACTATTTACTATTACTGTCCTATTCTTATTATTTTTTACTGTCTAGGTCCCTATCATCACTCCCCCTTTTGACAACCACCTTGTCCTCAAGGTGGGACTTGGGAGGTAGGAAACAGTCCTGACTAACCGCTTCATCCTTGCGCCTCTCCCCTCCAATACCTCCTTGATTGCTTGACCATGATCTTCATTACATGACCCTTCGGCTTCACTTCTTTCACCTTTGGAATTACACTCCATCCCCGTAGTTCCTGCATCTCACTGTGATCATCATCACTTTGGGGGATGGGCATCTCCAATGCTACAATGCGCACGGTGCACATGTGGCACGAGAGATAACCACATAAATATTAGCAAATAAATCACATCTCTCATTTGAATGATTTTGTACAATTTTGGTAAGTTTTTCTCTGCAATGTCAACAACAATGTTAACATCTAGACGGTCTTCTTGACATTGTGAAGAAAAACTTACCAAAATGGTATAAAATCATTTAAATAAGGAGCGAGATAATTTATTTGCTAATATTTATGTGGCTATCTCTCATGGCACATGTGCACCATGCACATTATAGCATTGGAGATGCTCTTATCCCTTTAGGCTGCTGGTGTGGTTGAGTCAGCATTTGCCCTTGTCTATGAGCTCTATCTCCAGCCTGTAGCATGTGTGCAGGTTCCTTTGGTAGTTCCAACAGGACAACATATTGAGCTGCTGACAGGTTTAGTCCCAAGCCACCGGCAATTATTCCCATAATTGCCCTCTTAACCTCTTTTGAGTTGTGGAAAGATTGAATAGGAGACTGCCTATCATAACCAGGTGTATGCCCATCAATAAGAATGCAGCTTATTCCTTTCTCAGAAGCAAATTGCTGTACTCCATCAAGAATCTTAGGATAGAATATGCTTTCAACCACAGCTTCACAACTCTCCAGTTCATTCTCCCCATCCTCCAAATATTTTTCAGATTTAGGACTACTGAGATATATTCCCAGTTCAACCATAGATCAAACATTCCTGAAGAGTCAGTTTTTTAAAATAGATGATCCTCAAATACCTTCCACTAAAAAATCACCAGAATTTCTTCATGACAATAAGATGCCCAGCTAACTTGCTCCTTGGTGCAACAAGAGCACAACGGACCGTCCAGAGAACCTCGCTCTTTTCGGCTTCTGCTGATTCGAAGAAGCAATCATTTCGGGCCTGAACAATGTTTTTCTGTTCACTAGGTTCTTTGACAACCTCTGAGGACAGATTATCAGTCACATTATCAAGAGCAGCACCCTCTGAATATTACATTCAGCATCACTTTTACTTATATCAAGAGGACCTTCATCTGTAATTTTTATTCCATCAATCTCTTCCATTGTACGAACCTCTGTACGAGTAGGATTCGTGTATATTTTGGCAACCTTAATGCCATTTTTCTTTATATTTGCTTCACTATCATCATCTGCAACTCCTTGACTGATATTTTCGCTAGGCCCCCCGTAAACACCACCATTGAATAGAGGTAGCTGTAGCTCTATCTCTCTCCCTGCTTGGCTGTGTCCTTGGTTCCTGGATATCTCACGTTTGTTGGCTGTCGTCTGCAAACTGAGAGGTTCTCCTCTTGATGGCGTCGTATTTTGATGTGAACTGATAGCAGATGAGGAAGCCTGCTAACTCAGAGAAACAGCTTGCGACGAAGACGGTGAAGAGTGAGATTTGGCCTTCGATGACGATGAGCCCTTGTTTTCAGAGTTCTGGTGATGTATCGCGGTCCATGATCTCCCTCGCGAACGATGGCGATTCTGATTCAGTATGAAGTTCTGCAGATCCACCATGCGTCGATCTTGGTTCAGCATCCAGTTTCGCATCTCGTCAACCCTTACTCGTATGTCGTTGACTTCTATCTCCACTCTTTCCAGTCGGTTCTCCATCTCTGCTCTGGCAATGATCATCTGATAGTGTTTTCAGATTCTCGTTCCTCCAGGATTGAGCACTCTGATACCAATGGTAGGTACTCAGCAAACGCAGCAGCAATTTAGGATTATATTGAATATGGAGTCTGATGAATTACAACTGAATCGATGGAAAACAGAAAGAATGTAATAGAAGAACAGTTTTGAGACATTTCAAGGAGTCTCCCTCTCCCAAGCCTAACCAATTATCTGCCTAACCCCCTTCTTCCCTTCTTCCCACTAACAGTAATTCTATTCTTAACGGCTGACCCAAACTTCTTGAAATACCTGGCCCATAACACTTATTTATACAATATCACACTATTTACTACTACGTATTATTCTATTATTCTTATTATTATTATTGACAGTCCAGGTCCCTATCAGAATAACACATGAGTGAAAAATCCGGGTACTAGGTGGTTCTGTTTATGTTCTTTTAGAACAGAGTTAATTAATTAAGTATGATGTTTTGCTCTCTATGCCTTCCTTTCTACTCGAATTTCTAATAATTACGAATGAGGAACTTGCATAATATAACTCAATCTATTCTATTTCATTGAACCTGAAAGATTCTCCTTATTTTCTCTCTTTTGTCTCTTCTATAGTTCTATTATGACTATTCACTTTTACGTTTTATAGAAGCCAAAATAACTCGGGCATTAGACAGTTAAAATTCAATTGCTACTCAAGTACTAGATGAATTTCCTATTGCTGAACTTTTAAAATGTTTTTAATTGGACTGAAATTTTCTAATCTACTCTCATATTAAACAGTTAGTGTGTGTATTATACTATTTTCTAAGTCTAGTCTGGTCTGGCTTAGTTTGATTTGTGTAAGTCTAGTGATCTAGTCTGGTTTGTTTAGGTGAAGTCTAGTGTGTGACTGAAAATAGTCTATTCAAAAAATCGTTGGTCATGTTCTAAAGTAAGCACGGTTCATCCCATAGCTGATGTGCCGTGTGCTGTGGGATGGCTCATCTATTCCATTTTCGGGATCTTTCTAAATCGCTAGCCCTTGTTTGGTTGGAGGGTAGGGGAGGAAAGGGGAAGAGCTTAAGACCCCTACCAACTCCTGATAACTGGCTCCCCGATTTGAGGTATTTCAAATGAGTAATATTTTTCGTAATTTCATTTTCACCTTTTAAAATTAATTTTAGACACTTGTGCATATTACTTATCATATTATTACAGCCTTACTGGATTTTTCTTGAGGCACCCTAAGGTTTGTGGTGTTGCTCAACATGAGCAAATTGGTATATGAGCCTATTGTCAGGGTTATTTTTAGAAATTTGAATATCTGGTGTCATTTTGAGAAATGTCACAAACCTAAGTGCAACCTTAAGAAAACCCCATATTTTAAATTGAAACAGAAATTGTATCTAAAATAATATGGAGCAAGTTAATGTTGTCAGTTGTCGTTGTCTTCTAAAGTTATTCTGCATCCCCACTTTTCTATTCAACCAACCATAACATCTCTTTAGTTTCCATTGATTCCCCCCCCCCCCCCTCCCTTGAATAACAAAGGCTAAATTATTATGAAGGAATTTGGATGTTAATATGTGATAGATATCCCAAAATGTTGTGTTTGTAGTTCATATTGTTCACTAGTAAAATCAGGGCCAAAAAATATATGGGCAATTAATAAGGAGCCTAATCGACATTTGTAGGTTACAACTAACATCTTTGCTGGATGTGTAATTTCATTTTTCACGTTATTTACATGCTGCAACAATAAACTATTACTCCGTACTAAACTTTCTTTGTTACTTTTTTCTCTCTCCATTGAATAAACTAGCTAGTGTTTGGGATCAAACATTTGAATTGAATTTGAAACATTGGAATTCAAGTTCTATCTACTTTCGAAGTAATTCAAATATTTTATAGGATCATGTGTAGTTTGTGGTTTGAGTCAAAATCCAAATCCATTTTTTGTATTCCCAAACATTACATTACACGCAAATCCAGGATTTCAATTGGAATCCTATTAGCTAAACATTGCATTATCTTTTTCTTGTACCTCTGTCTTACCCGAAGCTCTCTCTTTGTGCATGCTAGAGTTTGTGGTTTTATAACTTGCCCCTTAAAATATTTTGTTTAGGTTTATGATGTCACTCCATTCATGGATGATCATCCAGGAGGCGATGAGGTTTTGCTTTCAGCAACTGGTAACTTATTGATTCCTAGGCTCCATTTGATTTCCACTTCTGGCTTGTGTTCTTGATCAACAGCAATTAGTTATAATTATTTTGGTGAAATAGATGTTACCGAACACTTTTGTTTCAGAAAATTCAGCTGATTAGGCCATTTCAGCCGAATCAAACCTACCAAAAGGGCTCCAAATTTTCACTCGATGCTCTTCTGTATTAAATAAAAAAAGAAGTCAAAGACAATACCTTCTGATTTCTTAATGTAATGTATGTAATGATGAACACAGGGAAGGATGGAACCAATGATTTTGAGGATGTCGGGCACAGCGATGACGCAAGACAGACAATGGAGAAATATTACATTGGGGAGATAGACCAGTCCACGGTTCCAAAGAAGCCTTATTACACAGGCCTACATCCACAAGCTCCGGAAAGCTCCGACAGGTCTCCGGATTTCGTGGTCAAGATTTTGCAATTCCTCGTACCCCTTTTGATATTGGGATTGGCTTTTGTAGTCCGACACTACACCAAGGAGAAGTAAGCTAGTAGTACTCCATACTCCTTAGTAATGACTTTGAACCTGGTACTGTACGCTTGCCATGTTCATCATTGAGCTCATGGCCAGTAATGATAATAAATTATGAAGTGTTGAAAGGGGGAGGATTTTCTCCCATGTTTTGTTTCCTTCTTAGACTCTATTATAGTGATGCGTTCGTTGGCCATGCTGTGCCTGCAGAAATGACGTTTGATTGTGTTCCCTTGTTTGCTATACAACGGAATCCTTCTGTCATGTTTCTTAGGGTCTGTTTTCAACAGCTTCTACTTTTAAAAAAGTGTTTTTTTTTAAAGAAATGAGGAGAAGTGATTAAATAAAAGTTGATAGTGTTTGAGAAAAAAGTGATTTTGAAAAGTAAAAGTGGGTAGTGTTTGGTGAAATAAGTGTTTTTTGTGTAATAGAAAAAGTAAAAGCACTTTTGACGCGAAAGCCGAGAAAAATAAAAGTTGTAGTGTTTGGGATAATAAGTGCTTTTAGAAGAAAGAAGCGTCAACGAAGTTCATAGCCTTTTGTAAATAGTCATTGATTCTAGGGGTGGACGTGGTAGTAAGCTTACATTTTTCAATAGTTATTAATAGAGTAGATGATGAGGCCTGGATAAAGACAGGGGGTGGACACATGCCAGTTCTGTCCCCTCACCCCAAGTAAGAACCTTAACCAGATCCGGTCAACACTTAGAACCAATAATGTTAGTACCAGTTTGGCAGGGGCGGTGCTAAAGGCCATGCTATGATGCTAGGTCCGGCCTACCACAAATTTCAAAAATCTTAAAATAGGTATAGTTTTTTAAATTATACAGACACATATCGATAGTATAATTTAAAGAAACTTTTTGGTGTATATATGAACAACTTTAAATAGGTATAGTGAAAATAATGTCATTATTGTTTTAACTTTTTTTTGAATAAAATGTATGAACATTAATGTGCATAATTACTCAACAGTGCACTGATTTTTGAATGTAGTCAGATTAAAGGGTGGACCCAGTCCCAATTAAGGTTTGGCTGGTCCCGGTCGGCTGGTCCTGGTCCCAATCAAGGAGTGGCTGGTCCCGGCCATTGGTAGGAGAAGTCCAGGTACAACTTTGTTAAATCCGGGTTTGGTCTGGTTTTGGGTACCCAGGTGGTCTGGTTCTGGTCCCAGTCCTTTTCTATCCCCCCCGTTTCGAAACAAAAAAAAAGATGGCTGGTCTGGGAGTGAAATCGGGACCGAGATTGCCATGTTCCATCCCCAAATGAGTGAACCGGGACCGGCTAATATGCTTGGGCGGACTATGGGCAGTTCCAGACCTGAACTTGATTTTACGGACCCGGTTTGGTCCCAAATAGTGTCAGACCGGGTGCACCCCTAATAGGTGTTTCATTAAGTTTTGATTGAACTACTACACATGCTTATTCGTAAAGTTTCCGATTTGACAAAATGAGTCAAATTAAACAATAAAAACCAAAGTAGACTTTAATAACAAATGTGCTAGGTGTACATATTTTGGTGCAGACAACTCTATGAGTGTGAGACGGAGTGTATGAAAGGTGTACACCAAAATGTGTACACCAAGCATTTTCGTAATGTTGAATATTTCCCTTTTTGAATTTATTTGGTGTCCTACTTAGTCACGTCTCAAATCTAAAAAAATTCCATGTCGGGTGGTGTTAATCGCAACTAATTTAGAAAGTTTTGCTGAGTTGATCATCCTTTGGCTCAGCTCCCCCCTCAGTTTGATAATCCCTTCTTGAATAAGGGCATTATTTTATAAATATTACTAAATTAAATAAGAAAGACAAAAATATGAGTTGTTTTTGAATTTTCCCAAAAAGTGTCTAATCATACATTTAATGTCTTCTATTAAAAATACTACGTACTACATTTAGTATTATTATTCTAGTATTACATTCATATAATTAAATATACTACGTAATTAAATTTCCAGCCACCGCGCATCGCCACTGCCTATGGCACCCCATGTGGTTTAGTGACTGCTCCATCGTTCACTAATTGCTTTGACATTCAGTAACTGTCACCACGCCACAGTGGCTGCAGTGACTATTCCGCCATTTAGTTACTACTCTGCCATGCAGTGATCGTCGTCGTCACGGCCAATGACTGCCACTGCAGTTACTGTCGTGGCAGTGACCTATGGCAAGTCGGCAAGTGATCAAACGCCACCACTCAGTGATTGCCGCCTGCATCGCCGCCCGATACGGTTACCGCCATCCACCCTGGCTCATCAGCCCCCGGCCCCCTCCCCAGTAGTCATAGACTCAGGTTGGGCCGACCGGCCCGGAACCGGTACTGTTTGGGCCCGGCCCAGTTATAGGACCGGTTCGGGCCACCCGATCCTGGAATTAATTGGGTCGGGCCTCCTAAAAGTTTAACCGGCCCGGTTTGGGCCCGGAACTGGCCCGACCTATTTCTTGTTTTTTTTTTTTTTGGTTTTTTTTTCAATTTTTTTGGTTTCTCCCGGGTTGGTCTGGGTGTTTTGGGGGGTTTGTGGGTGAGGGGGTCGGGGTTTAATTAGAAAAGCAAAAGAAATTTAAAAAAAAAATAACATGAACCGGCCCGGCCCGGAACCGGTGCCTACCCGGGCCAGACCGGCCAGTTCCGATTCTTCCTTCCAAAAAAAAGCCCGGTCGGGCCCGGCCTTGAACCTGCCCGTCCCGGGTCCATGACTACTCCCCAGCCCCCTCCCCATCCTCCCATCCCCTTCGCGGGCGGGTGTTTTGGGGCGGGTCACGGGCTTACGCCCTTTTGGAACCGGTCCGGCCGGATTTTTTTTTTAGCTTGGCTCTTTGACTAGGTGGGTGGGGATGGGTGGTTTTGGGGGTTTGGGGGGGGGGGGGGGGTAGGAATTAATTTGAAAAGCAATTAAAAAATATATATAGCACCCGACCCGGTTACGGAACCTACCCGGGCCTGTACTGGGCCTCCAGTACCCAAGCTCAATCCCGCCCAAGACCTGACCCGGGCCCGATCCACCCTTAGTACAATCTCATTTAAAAACTCGGGGACATTAATTAAGAGAACTTTATTACTCTTCAAACTATTCTCTCGCCATCTTACTATAATAATCCTATCATTCCTATATAAATGATAGACATACTACGTACGTAGTAGTAATGTTTTCCTTTAACTTTTCTTCTTCAAAATTCAAAAAGTACTTTAAAAATGTATGTAATCGTACCATTAAACAACTTTTCTTATTTTCTATTCAAAACAGCTAATTTACGTTACTTTTACAAACAGTTTATGTTTACCAGATTAACTTTTCAAAAAGTAAGCTCAAATGAGTATATATTTCTGTTACCCAACGAAACAAACTTTAACTAATTAGGTTTTTTATGATTTTTCTGAAGTCATCCCAGAATTGTTTCTGATTTTTATGATGCCCTGTTGGCCCTGGCCTTGTCCTGATTTGTTAATACATTTTAAAATTGTTAACAAGCTCCAAGAGTCCAAGGATGGACTGATCCGGGAAAGGAACCGGACTGGCGGCTGTCTACCCATACTTTCACCCATAAACTATAAACTCATAATGTTCACCAGAATAAACATTGGGTATTACACTTAACACCAAAAGGAACACAAAATGTGCGTTTTTATACTTTCACTGATTTGCATAAAGCATAATATAATATTATAATATGAAGTAGCGTTTTTTCGTGATTCTTTAACGTGTATTTTTCAAGACCAATAGTCCTATGTAGACTTAGTCTAGCATTACAAGTTACAACAACCAACCACGGAGAAGAAAATTTCACAAGAAACCCCAAAAGAAAAACTAGTTAATTATTAATTAATCAAAAAGATGGATGTCTATTAGATCTTCTCATGGAGAGTGACCACCAAATCATGGGCATCATCCAGAAGCTTCCAAACATCCAGATGACCCGCCATGTTATTACACTCCCTCAATATCTCATCCATGCTACTATGCTTCTCTATTATCTGCTTCCTTCTTTGCAGAACAGAAGCGGCAATCGCATACAGCAAAAGATCCTCAGTTGGCGGGGCCCTCAACCTTATCCGGCTCCACGTGGATTTCCCTATCCCAGCCCGAATCGCGGCCTGATCCGCCCACATTACCTCCCACAGGCAGACCGTCTGATCAAACGTCAGCTCCCTCCTGAAAAGCACGATAACCATTCGATACACGAAGAAGCAATCCTCCGCTTGCAGCTTCACCAGGTGTCTGTACAGATGTGAATCCTTATGTTTGATGATCTTGGAAACAATGTTCAGTTGCCTGCGAATTCCCACCTCGTCTAGTCTGAAGTTATGCCGAGCCTTCTTCATGAATCCTACAAAACACCAGAAAGCTTCAAAGTCCTCTGTTATAACGCAGATTATTGGGGAGAGAAGATCACTCATTCCTTGGCAGTATCCGATTTCTGGGTCATACAGTGCATAGGCTTCTAGAATGGCGACTAATCTGGCGGCATGGAAGATTCTAGTGGAGTCCAAGTGTTCGTAGTCCTTCAGCCCAACCGCTTCTGCAGAACGGCGGGCCTTGTCTTCTGGTACTTGTGCACCATTTGAGGTGGCAGGAGAGTACGTCATCCACTCCCCGTTGGACCGGATCGCATCGAGACGAATTATGCGCTGCCATGTGGCAAAATCCTCTGGACTATGGAGTTTTGACTGCACCTCTGTTGCGGGGGAATATTCTTCTTTGGAAGAGGATGTTTCAGGAGTGTTGTTTTCTTCCACGGAAGGCAAGGTTAAGCCTGTGTCAGGATCCGAAGAGGAGTCCGAGTCTTCTGAGGATTCAGTATCAGAAAGATAGTTCAGTTCAGACATCCGTTTGGAGCTAGAAACTCCGCTGTCAAACAATAATGCCTCCTCTGGATTGTCTGAATAATCATTGCTGGAAAGTGATTCGCGGGCACTAACGGCATCTTCAGAGTCAGGAGACTCCATCCCACCTTGAATAAGTAGTAAATCACCATTTCTAACATCACTTGCTCCACCTTTCAGTTTGAACATCTCATCAGTGCATTTCAATAGCCGGCGGCATTGCCTCCGCAGCTTCTCATATTCCTTTCTGTATTCAACCAATTTGAAATTGAACAGCGTAATTAATTTAAAGAATAAACATTCACTTTCCAATCCCCATCCCCATCCCCATTTTCTTATGTATGCACGCACGCACACACACCACACACATATATATATTGAAGGGAAGAAAATGCTAAAGAAATCAAAGCATTTGGTCTACCTCAAAAAAAGAATTTATACTCCGTATTTGTTTAAATTAATTTCCA